TGGCATGACTATACATATGTGTAAGATCATTGTATTTTGAATACAAGTTTAGAGTAAACTTATATAATTGTCATAGATGTGAAATATGTGTTAATTAGGTCTTGTAGGTACAGGACACACCAACGGTGATGAGGAGGTAGACTAGTCAGTATTATTAATTGGTTAGAGAATAATTGAGGACTTTTGAGGGAGACGGGTGGAAGTAAGTGGTTGGGGCATATCTGCACATGGAGTAGGTTTACACAGGGGGGGATGCTAGGCTAAAAATGGAAATGTTTTTCCATACTTTGTTTTATGTTCCGAATTCACTTTATTGTGCTAGAGTATGCTCATTCTATATTATTTTCAGATGCAGTAGTACATGGAATAGACTTAGGAGTACCAACTACGGTATAATATTTAGAGGAATCGGATTAGTCAAACTGTATAGACTCATCTTGACTTACACTTATGAAGTTATAATTTAACATTCCCTTTTATAAACGGGAGTTTCCACCTATCATTTTGGTATTGGTGGTTGTAATGTGTGATATATTGAATATATTTAGATGAATTGGATTATTTAATGTATAGTGGATAGTTGAACGCAGAAAATGTCTGTTTAGTAGTTATAGTTTAGTTAAGGGATGACAACAAGTATATTTAACACCCAAGAGTTTAGGGGTGTTATAGCTTAGCTTAGGGGATTTAATAGAAACATTGGGATTTGCTTTGTCTTACAGGCTAAGCTTTGGGGCGCTCTTGATGGCCTGTATATGACCTAGAATCTAGGTGCGTGCAAAGTGCTTCTAGAAATGGACAACATGATCGCGGTTCAGGTCCAGAATAAGGTTGTTCGCAACAAAGTTTTTCATATCAATGCCTGACAAGCTATAAAAATGCATATAGACAAGAATTGGACTGTTCATGTTTAATATGTTTGTAGAGAAGGGAATTAATACGCTGATTTCTTAGCTTCCCTGTGCCTTTATTTTTATCCTCAATCTTTTGTTAATCTCCTCAATTTTACTAGAAACGATCTCTTTGGAGTATTTTGGTCTAGAATATATAACATCTAGTTCATTATGTTGTGTTTTCTTCTTCATTTTGTAACAAAAATAATATATAAAAATTTAATTTTAAAATAAATGTTATTTACATAAATTTATAATAAATATAGAATTATTAACAATAAATTAATATTAAATACTTTTAAAAAATATCAATGTAATGTTATTATTATTATTTTTTTCATTTTCTAAGAAAAATCTAAGAGTTCTTAAATATACAAGAGGAAATTAATGATATAGAGAAAACAGTGAAAAATTTTAGAAAATATGTTAAAAAAATTAGAATTATCAGCGATCAATACGTACATGGATGGATAAAATTTGGGTATTATACAATATAGTTATATTATATTACTGCCAAATAGCTGTTATATTATTATGTGTATCAAAAAATTTTACATAATGTTAATGGTGTTCACACATGGAAAGAAGGAGAAAAAAGGTAGAAGAGAAGACAGCCAAAAAAAAAAAAGAACGTACCCAATAAATTTCAGTTTCTAAATTGGGTTTAAAAGCCCAAATGAATACGGATTAAGACCCAAACTAATTATTTGGGCTACAACCCAAATTCAAATTAAACGGTTGGATTTGTAATTATGTTTCTCCAGTTTAAAATTAATAGCAGTAGAATAAGAAATGAGCATGATTTTAATGCCTAAATTCAAATTAAATTAAATGAATGAAACGCCAAAATTAGATCCCTTCAGTTAGATCCTAACTTTAAATTTGACTTTTAGGATTAAATTCATGACTGCGCCGAGCTTGCCCTTTAATGGGAAAATGGGAAAAAAGTTGTTCTAAAAATGAGCTTAAAGCACAAGAAAACTAAAAAGACCAGAAAAGCTGGGATAAACAAATCCAGAATGACCCAAATAATATCGAGTTAAACCATAGATTTAGACAAACAGTCACTATATATATATATATATATATATATATAAGTTGAGTATTCTTGAGCATTAGTCAGGTTCAGGTGTATATGTTACACACACACACATATATATATATATATTATCTGGAAACCAAAACTATAAGACTACATAAAATACTATAACTTAATTATAACTCCCACATTCCATCTTACATATTTGCTAGAAAGCATGCAAGCGCGGCCTAGCTTTATATGTATATGTATATATAATGACCGCTCTTCTCAAGCTTTAACCGTGGTGATTTCTGTCTTTAGCCTCCCATGGAGAGTGCGTGCTATGGTCGCCTGAACCACCACCTCCCCCACCAGAACCACCGGTCCCACCAGAGCCGCCGCCACCAGAGTTTCCATTTCCACTTCCATAGCCATATCCTCCACCGTGAGCTCCACCACTTCCAAATCCGAATCCATACCCGCTGCCCGAACCCGACCCTGTACCGAACCCAAACCCGGAACCCTTCCCGAACCCGTTGGGTGACCGTCCTGAGCCCGAACCGAAACCCCATCCGCTGCCGGGGCTTGAACCCCATGCCCAACTGTAATCCCAGTTGGGTCCACTGGCAGACCCAGTAGCCCCGCCTGGCTCGTTAGACCCCGTAGAGGTTTCAGGAGACGGCACCGTTTTGGTTCCAGTGTAACCGCCAACCCCGCCGCCGATAAACCGGGACGCCAAAGAAGTTGCAGAGATCATCATCATGAAGAGAAAGAAGAAGGTGAATGATTCAGAGAAGTGGGTGCGCATTTCTTTTTGTGTTGTTTGAAGAAAATATTTCTATTTGATGAATTACGTTATACGTAGAGAGGGTTTTTGTAGAGAAAAGTAAAGTGTGCGATGACTCGTGATGATCAGATTATGGTGCATGAAAGTGGGAGATCGAGATATACATATATATATATATATACAGAGAGAGAGAGAGAGAGTGAGTGTGATGGTAAGACGGGTCACCACCCCGTGAAGATAATTAATTAGTTTGAAATGGTAGGCATGTCAGGATCTGAGAATTTTTTTCCCGTAATTATAATCCGTTTAGCACCACCGCCTTTCTACTAAAATAATAATATAAATATATTTTTCTTTGGTGTGCTTTGTAATTCAATTGCTTCTGAACCATATATATATATATATATATTGTATATGTGTATATACAGATATATCTTATCCTAACCACAGAAAAAGGGAAAGGAAACGTTAATTTAATTAAAATTAATTGTGGGTTTTATTCCCAACCGAAAAGAAGAAAGTGAGAGCTAATTAATTAAGGCATTGATTTTTGTTTTTGTTATAATTTAGTGAAACAAATGGATACAAGTGGAAAGTGTATTAACTTAGATTGTAACATCAACAAATTCTGGAATCCACTATATGATTTGTCTTTTCTGGGTTAACTTGGGTTAATGCACAATTATACAACTCTTGAGAAAAGAAATGTTTGTATTGTGCTATGGGAAATAGCTAGTTTCCTTGCTCACAAAGCATATACATATATATATATATATATGCTTCAATGATGATGTCAGCACCATGCAAGTACCACTACAGCTATTTGTAGGGAAATTAAAAATTGAAAAACAATTTAACTAATAAATACAAGATCTTAGGTAAATCACAAAACTAATAAATAAATTAATAAATACATGATATTTTACATTTAATTTTTTCTTAGAGAGAAACCTTTTGTTTTATTTGGCGATGAGAAAATAGTGCAAGAAATTAATATTTGAGCTGAGAATCATGAGTTATTTATAGTTGTGAGATTTTGTTATTTTATTTCAGTACATCATAGGAATAAAATAAAACTTTAGTCCATAGGAAATAATTTGTAGGCTCAATAACTTCAGTAATTTAATTAATTACTTTTCACGAATTCAAAAAAAAAAATAAAATTAAGTAGCAATAAAAAATATCGGCCTACACTTAGAAAATACCCAACAATATCGGCATAAGTGCTAGCATAAGTTTATTTTTAAAGCACTTTTAATAGCAAAAATTTCTTACTTATTTATTGAAAAATCCTAACATTGGATTGATATAATTAAGGGTAATAATGTGAAGACGTGTAATCTTAAAAGTAAATAAATTTATATTTTTAAATGCAAAAACGAACAATAAGGTTAAGATTTACATTGCTTACACAGTAAATTGGGATGTTTAATAGAATTACGGAAATGTCCCTTCTATATTGGTTCATAAAAAAATAAACAATAATAAAAATAAATAAATATCATAAGGGTTAACTTTCCCACTAGCATTTGAAGGGAGTCCGAAAGGTGAACTATTTACAACTTTCTTACTGATCGGGATCTGAATCTTGATCTTCTTTATATGAAATGGTTAATAAAATGATGAACTACACTACCCCAATAAAAATATCACACTAATCACTAATACGAAAAATCGAAAGTTGGTAAAAATAATAAAATAACTAATGAAGTCTTTATTTAAGTAAATATATTTAACTTTAAAACTTTTTATTCAATACTTACCATTACGATTTTTTTTTTCCAAAATAAACCTATGAATACAATTATCTAAATGACATTTCAATTTCATGCATAGGACCAGCAATCCTTCTTTTTTAATCTACTTACTGGAACCTCTGTGGGTCCATAAGGATATCTCTCTACTTGTGGACCCAGTATCAAGATTTAACAATTAACTCAGCCGTTCCCCTTTCTCGTCCGGTAATGGGCGCCTAAAACATCATCCCCTCGATACTTCGTCTGGTATAAGGATGAACTATATCTCCTAAAACTCTTTCAGTATAAGACTTCTTAACTTCATTCGATTGAAGTAATGTCCACGGTAGGGTTCTCTATGTACCAGGTTCGTTTATCATTTCCCAAGATACTCAGTAAGCTTTTATTTATTTAGATTCAAACAACTACTAAAGCATACCAACGTTTCATTTCATATTCACTGATCAATTTAAACGACATTTAAGTAAGCGATATAGTTTATCATAATCAATAACCGAATAACCAGATAATCAAATAAAAATGTAGGAGGAACCAAATAAACCAGATAATCGAGAAAACCATAGAAACTATCAATTTAAACATGTATAATATAATAGTAAGCAAGTTAAGCAGTATAGGAAAATAAATAGGGAATTAGGATAAATGTGAACTAATCGGTTATGTCTCCACTAGCGACCTGTAATATTTTTAGAGTTTTTTTTTTAATTTTTATAAAATACACAATTATCGATTATTAATCCTCAATTTACGTAATTGAGAATAGGGTTAGGAATTCTTACCCGAATCGATATTTTGAAATATCGTGCTATCTACTACGCCTCCTAATGAGTCTCGAGTTTTTTGAATTTATCATGCGATAATCTAAATTACTCGTTACATTCCTAAAAAAACATCAAAAATCTAAAATAAGTGTTGAAAACTCTTTTCAGCCAATTTTAGGGTTCTGGCACATTGGAGTCCTCATGCTTTGGCATCGGCTCCGTTGCCCACGGTGGTGGTTTACCTCGACCTGGTTAGTTTTGGCCAGTTTTGGTTGATTTTATACATATTTCTATGAAAAAACACGTTAGGGGGTCTCGGTTGGTAAAAAAATCACAAGAAACCAAACCTACCGACGGGGGGTCTTCGAGTGCAGCGGCTCAGCTAGTTCTCCTTTGCGACTGGGGTTTCTTCTTCTGCTAATCTGCACAAAAAATGACGGTAAACATAATAGTTAAAAAATTGTGTGAAACGGGAAACAAGAGGGGCTTATCGGAGGGGTTTTAAGGTTTCGATTAAGACGACTCCGCCAGACTTTGCCCTCAGTTTCTGACTCATCCGCCATCCATTTTACTCCAATATGACCACAGAGAGACTCACAATTGAACTTTGAGTGGGAAAGAGAAAATTTTATCTTTTTGGGTGGTCGGCGGCGGCTTTGGTGCAACAACAGCCGGGGGTCGGTCTCCTTCTTCGGTGTTTGGTTCTTCTTCTCCGGTGAGGATAGATTCACCTAGGGTTAGGGTTCTCCTATGATACGATGTTTAAATACCTATCTCGCATCGATCTGAACCGTCCGTTCGTGTCGACGTAGAGCGAGGAGAGTCATCTGGTCGTTGCCTGTTTAGGTTGATTGCATGGGTGAATCTTGGCCGTTCATCGTGATTGATCTCGTTCATCCAATCGCACCTAAAAATTTGGGTGACATCTGAGTCGTTCACGTGCGCGGGATTAAATCTGGGCTGTCAGATCACTGGGCATGCATATCGCCTGCGTGGCTTCTTGCATGGCGCCGATGTCAACATATTTTGCCACGCGACATGCTGTGGTTTGCTGTGGCTGCTGACTAGGTCGTCCCATATGGTCGAATTTTCTCTTTTTATATTTTAACCTCTTATTTCTAACTTTTCTTTCAAAAACACCCATTGAACTTAATTTCACCCATCTTCCCCAAAATTGCTTTCAATTTCATACCTAACTTATTTTTCCTCAAAAAATTTAATAAAATTAAATTAAAATAATATTTTTAATTATTTATATATATTTTAAAAATAAAAAAATTTATTCCAGGCTAAATTCATGACTCGAGTATTACAATTCTCTCTCTCTTAAGAAAAAACTTGGTCTCTCAAATTTATCACCCTCTCACTTAGTCAAACAGTTGGGGGTACTGGGTTCTGAAGTCCGATTCTAGCTCTCATGTGGCATCTTTCTGTGTGTGATTTTGCCATAAGACCTTGACGAAAAAGAATTTTTTTATTGCAAAGTACTTTACTCTTTCGGTCTACAATGCCTACTGGTACTTCTTCATAGGATAGATCCTCCTGAAGTGAAAGATGCTCGTAGTACAGGATGTGTGAGGGGTCCGGATTGTTTGCATAGTATGTACACATGAAACACATTATGCACCCTGGATAGTTCTAGAGGTAGTACCAGTCTGTAGGCGATCATACCAATATTGTTTAAGATCTCAAATGACCTAATGAACCGAGAATTTAATTTTTCACTCTTGTCAAATCTGCTAATTCTCTTGAAAGGAGTGACCTTAAGAAACACTCGATCACCTTTCTCAAATTGCAAATCTCTCCTTCGGGTATATACATAACTCTTCTATCTACTCTGAGCTGTCTGGATGTTCTTCATGATCTTAACTATCTTGGCTGTAGTCTCCTCTACAAGATATGGGCTAAATAATTTTCTATCACCCACATCTTTCCAACAAATTGGTGACTTACAGGGGCAGTCATACAATGCCTCATACGGGACCATGCCGATATTTGCTTGTTAGTTGTTATTGTAGGCGAACTCTATGAAAGGTAGATGATCATCCCAATGGCCCCCGAAGTCTAGAACAAAAGCTCAAAGAATATCCTCTAATGTGTGAATCGTCATCTTTGATTATTTATCGGTTTGAGGGTAGAATGCGGTGATAAAGGATAGTTTTATTCCCATGACTTATTGAAAACTAGACCAAAACTAAGAAGTGAATCTGGGATCTCTGTCGGGTACCACTGTCACTGGAACTCTATGTAACCTGACTATCTCTTGTATATATTCTTTCTAACTTGTTCAAGGGGTCAGTCATCTTGATAGCCAAGAAGTGAGAGGGCTTGGTGAACTGGTCGATAATTACCCATATAGTATCATGTCACGAACATGCCTTAGACAACCCTGTCACGAAGTCTATTGTGATATGTTCTCACTTCCACTCCAGAATTGGTAATGGCTGAAGTAGCCCACCTGAGCGTTAATGCTCTACCTTAGCCTGTTGACATAGCAGACACTTAGAGACAAAGTCACTTATCTCTCTTTCTATCCCACTCCACCAAAACTAGAGTTGCATGCTTTGATACATTTTTGTACTTTCGAGATGTATGACAAATTTTGAGCTATGAGCCTTTGTCATAATGTCCATTTTCAGTTCACTACCATCTGAAACACACATCATATCCTAAAATTTGAGCAACCCGTCAACAAAGACTCAAAATTCTAGGTTTAATCCATGTTCTACATCCTTCTTGAGAGCTGCTATGGAGAAATCGGTTCATTGAGCTTTCTTTATTCTCTGGATCAATTCTGGTTGGACAGTCAAGTGGGCCAAGTA